GGCGGGCGCCGGGGTCCGCGTGCGCTGCCGATGTTGTCACAGAAGCCAAGCCAGAACCAAACAGGCTCCCGCCCCTCCTGGGCCCAGGCACAAGCCCAAACCCCAAGTGGCCAAGGGGGACTTCCTTTCTGTCTTTCCAAAAAAGGCTTTGTGAAAGAAACCACTGATTGTAAACTGTCCAGTTTATTATTATTATTTTTAGATGGCTACAAATAGAGTGTGAGACCTCACACCTAGACTAGCTTTCCTGTTGGAAGGGCTTGGGTACAGACAGCAGGGCTTCTGGGGTTTTTTTTTTTGTTTTGTTTTGTTTTTTGCCTTTTTTCTTTTCTTTTCTTTTTTTTAAAGAAGAAAGCATAGAGGTTGATTGGGGTGGGGGCTTGCTGGAAGCTTCCATTTTTAAAAATCCCCCCCCAAACCTCCCCCTGAAAACAAATAAAAAAATCCCACAACGGTAAAACCCCAAACAAACAAACAAAAAAAACAACAAAAAAGTGTCATGTACAGAAAAGGTCCTTTGGGGAAGGGGCAAGGAGCGGGGTTTTTCTGGTCACTGACTTGAAATACATTTTTGAGTTTTGTCCTTCATGTTTTATGGAATAAAAAGTTCGGCCTTTTTATTGCATGAAACTAAAACTGGGACAGGTAGGGGCTTGAGGGGGCGGGGCTTGAGGGGGAGCGGGGAGCCGCCCTCCCCCTTAGCTCCTGGATAATGACACCTCACTTCTTCTTGCATAATTTCTGGCAACTTCCCGCCTGCAATGCCGGCTTTCTCTGCGTCTCGGAGAAGGGGGATCACACACTCATCGTCATGCTTGGAGAATACTGGAAGGGACAAGCGGAGAAGGGGGTCGTGAGGGCCAAGGTGTGGGAGGCCACGGACCCACTGGGGTGCCCACAGCCTTGTGGAGGTCTGACTGCACAGCGCCGAGCAGGGCCTGTCTGGTGGTACAGCTGGGCTGGAATTGCACGGTGGCATGGGGCGGGTGAGGCGAGGATCAGGAGGTGGGAGCTAAGGGCCGCTTCCATCAGGACAGACCCCTGCTCCTTCACCTCTGGTCACCCCCCTCCTTCCAGCCACAGGCCTTGCCTTTCCCCAGCACAGGTCAGGGCACCATGGTAACCGGCTGTGAAGGACCAGAACACAGCTGGGTATCCTGGGAGGGGCCCAGTCTCCAGACAAGAAGTACCAAGAAGCCCACTACAGAAAAGCAGGTGGCCAGCCCCTTATGTCGAGGCCCTTAAAAATCGCTGGCTGCATGGACCTTCCGCTCCCGGCAGGCAGAAACGGACCTCGAGAGCATGCTGTCCCCAACTCTCCCCGCTCAGGGCGTTCCCAGCCCCATCATCAGCTCAGCGCGCAAGAGGCGTGCGGTCTCCACACACAGGGCCTCCACTGCCTAGGCTGGGCAGTGCCAGGGCTCTCCACTCTAGGTGGAAAAGCAGCCAAGGTGGACAGTCCCCAACACGGCCGCCAGGCCACTGGCTGGGTGGGTGGGTGGCACCAGGCTCTGCAGTGCATCGGAGAGTCCCTGGGCCCGGGACTCTGGGAGGTGGGTCCAGGGATGACAGCAGCGTGCAGGGAGGGATGGGGAGGGAGACTCACATTGTCGTTCTGGAAGGAGTGGAGGAAGTTCCCTCCCAGCTCGCCGTCGTCTCGAGGAGTGCCTGGAGGATTGCTAATGCCACTTATGTTGTTGGGAGAATTCTGTGGAGAAATGAGACGGGGTGAGCCCGCGTCCCCAACAAGCTGCCCACCCGGCGGGACGCTGTCAGGAGACATCACGCACACACTCACTTTTGGAAGTCCATCTATGTCACCTGACCCTGGAAGGAGAGAAGAATCCAGTTCAGTTTCTTGCTCACTCTTCCAGGAGGGGTGTCCTTATGGAAGGATTCCTCTTCCCTGGGCTCTTTGGGCCTCCCAGCCCTTCCACCCACACCCCACGCTGTGTGCAAGAGTTCCTGCATGGAGAATGTCCCATCTGGGTATACAGGGGCGGGGCCGCCTTACCTAGCGATCCGTTCATGTGATGTGGCTCCATGCCACCCATGCCGCCCATGGGGCCATCGGAGCCCGGACCCATCGGGAACTGAGGAAGAAGCACAGAGCACGTGGCTCAGTGGGCCCTGGGCCCCTTGCAGGCTCCCATGCCCAGTGCATCAATCGACAAAGCTAACCGAGCACTCTAGGGCAGGAGGCCTGACCTCAGGAGCTTCCACTTCGGGGACTCAACTCAGGCACAGCATGCCCGGGAGGCCGGGACAGGCGCCTCATCTCGGCCCTTGCAGCTGCAGGGTAGAGACACTCCTCCTACGTGCCAAGCGAGGGAGCAAACCCAGGGAGGGAAAAGGAACGGCCTAAGCCACCTTGCTCCACGCAGAGGCAGGTCTCGACTCAGCCTCTCGGGTCATGCAACGGGGCTCCTTCATCCTGGGCTGGGACGTGCAGTTCCCTGTCCAGAACCTCGCACGGACGGGTGTCTGACCACACCAGACCCAAAACATGAGTCCTCTTCACCCCCATTTTACAGGCAAGGAAACTGAAGTGGAAGAGGGGTGCTTTGCCTGAGGTCTCCAGGGCTGGAGACAGAGGGGCTGGGACTGGAACCTGGCAGCCCAGCCTGGTGCTGTCACGCTGGCCTCCCCTAAGCTAATGAAATGGAGATGTTTCCTGGGAGTGGGCAGGGAGGGGGGAGGAGAACCGTAAGGGGTGCGGCGGGGGGGGGTCACTGAGGAGGCTCCCATTCAGAACTTAGATCAGAGGCTGAGATGAACTTGATTTTACGCCCATCCTTGGGCTTGCCATCTCAGAAAAGGAAGCCACTGGAGGTCAGAGAGGGATGCGACAGCTATGTGACATCCCATAGTGAGTCACAGGGCTGGGGAGGCGGGATGGCTGAGCCCCACCTGGAGAGCCAGGGCCCTGTGCTGTGAGACCGGATGTCGGGTGAGAAGGGGTGGAGGTGGTGGAACGGGGTGGGGGGGGCTGTCTGGCACCCTGCCTGGGCCGGGCTCCGAGGACACAGCACTGAGTCACACCTGAGCCTTAGCCCAGAGGAGAAGCTCACAGATACCCAGCTACCCCACGGGATGACAGAGATGCTGCATTCCAAAGAGCTGCAGACAAAGTCCAGCTGCAGCTTCAGGCAGAGGCAGAGAAATCAGAGCAGGCTGCGTGGAGGCGGCAGAGCATCAGCCAAAAGGAGAGGTACTATCTGGGCAGACGCTCCAGGAGTCCGGGGGGCAGTGTGGAGTGCCAGAGCTGGGGATGGGGCAGGAAGCAAGGCCCAGAGCAGGCTGAGGGCAAAGCTGGGGCACCAGTCACATCCCCATGACGGGGGTGCAGCCTCCTTGCCTCCCCAGTGACCCTGAGGCAGCTCACAGGCTTTCGGGCACGTTTTGCCATCTGGTAACGGATGTCATGCTCATCAACCCAAGGGATGCAATTTTGAGGCACAGCCGTGCCAGCCCCCAAATCCTAAAATGTGGCAACATTATGTGTCATCACGCACTTGTACGCCATGACTTTAACACAAATATGTCATCACCCTAACATAAAACATTTAAAAAAGGGTATTTATTTGAAATTGCGTATTGTTTGCATTAAGTTTTATTGAGATATAATTCACATCCATACCACCAGCCCACTTAAAGTATACAATTCTGTGGTTTTCGGCCTATTTATAGGGTTCTGCAATCATGACCGCAATGAACTTCAGAACACTTCCATCACCCCAAGAAGAAATCCTGTGCTCATTTGCAGACATTCTTCAGTCCCTTGCTAACTTCCAGCCCAGGGCAGCTGGTTTGTCTTTCTGCCTCTATAATCTGCTGGTTCTGGACATTTCATATCCACGAGGTCACGTGACCTTTTGTAGCTAGCTTCTTCCACTTAGCACATTTCCAGGGTTCATCGGTGTTGCTGCATGCATCGGTTCTTTATTCCTTCTCATGGACACAAGTGGCCCACTGCACGGACGTAGCACATTTTATCCAACCATTCATCAGTTGAGGAGACAAATAGGGGGCATCCACTTTCTGACAAATGCTACTACGGGCATTTGTGTATGTGTTACTGTGGATATACGGAGTTCATTCCTCTTGGGTACACACCTAGGAGTGGAATTGCTGGGTTACATGGTGACGGTTTACACTTTTGGGGAAAGGTTAGACTGTTTTCCAAACAGCTGCATCATTTTATACTCCCACCAGCAGTGTATGAGTGCTCCAATTTTTTCACATCTCCACCCAAACCGGCCATTATCTGTCTTTTTTACTCCAGCCATCCTAGTGGGTTTGAAGTGGTATCTCACTGTGGTTGTGACTCACATTTCCTCCTGAGCATCTTTTCATGTGCTTATTGGCTATTTGTACATAGCCAAATATGAAATAGCCATTCAGATCCTCATCTCATTTTTTAATTGGATTGTCATTTTATTAATAGAGTATTTATTTGAAATTATATATTATTGCATATTTTTGTATTATTTTAAGTTTTACTGAGATACAATTCACATGTTCTATAACTAGCCCATTTAAAGTGTACAATTCTGAGGTTTTCAGCATTTTTTTTTTTTTTTGAGTTGGAGTCCCACTCCCAGCCACCACAGTCTTGATCTGCTGGGCTCTGGTGATCCTTCCCCCTCAGCCTTCCAAGTAGCCAAAACTACAGGCACGTGCTACCATGCCCGGCTAATTTTTGATTTATTGTAGAGATGAGGTCTCGCCAAGTTACCCAGGTAGGTCTCGAACCTGTGGGCTCAGGCAATCCACTCGCCTTGGCCTCCCAAAGTGCTGGGATTACAGGCTGGGTTTTCAGCATATTTATAGGGCTCTGCAACCACCACCACAGTGAATTTTAGAACATTCCCATCACCCCCAAAAAGAAATTCTTTTTGGTTGTAAGAATTCTTTATATATTGTGGACCTAAGTCCCTTGTCAGATTCGTGATTTGCAAATATTTCCCCCATCCTGTGGGTCATCCTTTTACTTTCTTGGCGGTGTCCTTTGAAGCACAAATTTTAAATTCTGATGAAGTCTCATTTATCTTTCTACTTTTGTTGCTTGTGTTTTTGGTGTAGGCTTGGCATAATGAGCATCATGAAGATGTACTCCTGTGTTTTCTTGTAAGTTTCTATAGCTTTAGCTTTGACATTGAGGTCTACAATCTACTTAATTTGTGTGTGCTGGTGTAAGGAAATCGTCCCACCTTATTTGTCTGCATGAAATCCAGTTGCCCCAGCATCATTTACTGATTCTGTATTATTCACTTTTCAGTTACATAAGTGCTATTCTTTAAACAAAACAACAGAACTAGTTAACATTGGCAATCAGTAACAATTAGTTGGAGAACTAAGTTAAATGGTGTGTATGAGAAAAATAAAGTTTCTGTCCTCTGATACAACAGTAACTTTTAAAAACTCTATTGAATATTTAGTTTTCATAAGTTACATTATCTATATTTTTTAAAGATAAAACAAATGGGACTAATAAAACAAATAATACTCACATTTAATTAAAAAAATAACAGATATTTATTTCTGCCAGAGTAGAATTTTTAGCTCTGTTTCATTTCTCAATATTACTTCTCTGCACCTTTGGGACAGTCTTTTTTTTTTTTGAGTCGGAGTCTCACTCTGTCGCCCAGACTGGAGTGCAGTGGCCGCTCCCGGCCACCACAGCCTCGACCTGCTGGGCTCTGGCGATCCTTCCGCCTCAGCCTTCCAAGTAGCCGGAATTATAGGCGCACGCTACCACGCCCGGCTGATTTTTTGATTTATTGTAGAGATGAGGTCTTGCTGCCCAGGTGGGTCTCGAACCCGCGGGCTCAGGTAATTCACTCACCTCAGCCTCCCAAAGGCGCGGGATTACAGGCTGAGCCACCAAGCCCGGCTTTTTTTTCCTTTTTTCAGCCATGAGGGTCTCACCCTGTCACCCAGTGGGAGTGCAGTGGCACAATCATGGCTCACCACAGCCTCAAACTCCTGGGCTCAAGCAATCCTCCTGCCTTAGCTTCTTAAGTAGCTGGGATTAAAGGCGTGTGCCACCGCTTTGGACATCCTTAAAAAAAAATGCAGTAGTAAAACTGAACATAGTCAAATATAAAATTTATTTGACTTGCCTTTTTCTTTTTTTTGAGTTGGAGTCTTACTCTGTCGCCCAGGCCCGAGTGCAGTGTACACTTACGGCCACCCCAGCGCTGACCTGCTGGGCTCTTGTGATCCTTCCACCTCAGCCTTCCAAGTAGTCAGAACTATAGGCGTGCGCTACCACACCAGGCTAATTTTTTATTTATTGTAGAGACGAGGTCTCGCCAAGTTGCCCACGCTGATCTCAAACCTGTGGGCTCAAGCAATCCACTCGCCTCAGCCTCCCAAAGTGCTGGGACGACAGGCTGAGCTACTGAGCTCACCTTTTTCAAGTCCACATTACACTGAATCCTGGTGTCAGTCCCACATGACAACACCAAACTAAACATCCTCTCCACAGCAACGTTTGCACATGGAGTACCTAGGATCTGACTTATTAGCACAGGCCTCTAGGCTTGCAGGAATTCACTTCCAGCTCCTCAAAGATGTCTATCCACTTTTGTCTACAGGCTGGCTTTGGTGGGCCAGCTGCCTAATGATCAGGCCTGTGTATCTCTAAAGTCATCAGTGGAATATCCTAAGATGCCCATCATTTCTAAACACTCTGAAGCACATGGGGTGCCATTATAAATTAAACCTCTCTTTCTCCAGCAAACAATGATTTTAAAGCACAGAGCTTGACACTGATCCAATGGGAATGCCAGATAAGTTTAGCGAAGAAGTTAAGAAAGTCCTGCTAACGTGGTTGCCTTTGCTGGTGACATTTTTTGAGTTCTCAAGCAGCCCTGTTTCCCAAAGAGTTGTTCTTCCTGCTGAGTGAGGTTTTATTGCACCCTTCCCAGCACACCCAGTGGTTCAGGTGCAGCTGGCTAGCCCCAATCAGGTTCCCTGGGGCTACTTTTTTTTTTAGTTGAAGTCTCACATTGTAGCCCAGGCTGGAGTGCAATGGCCACCCAGCATCAACCTGCTGGGTTCAGGAGATCCTTCTGCCTCAGTCTTCCAAGTGGCTGGAACTACAGGCATGTGCTACCATGCCCAGCTTATTTTTTGATTTATTGTAGAGACGAGGTCTCACCAAGTTGCTCAGGCTGGGCTTGAATCCCTGAGCTCAGGCAATCCTCTCATCTCAGCCTCCCAGAGTGCTGGGTTACAGATTTGAGCCACCGTGCCCAGCCCAGCCTCAGGGCTACTTTAAGGAGCATCAAACACTGGCTTTTAGCTCCCTGCAGCCTCAACCTCCTGGGCCCAAATGATCCTTCTGCCTCAGACTCCCAGTAGCTAGGACTGCACTCACAGGCCACCATGCCCAGCTCATTTTTAAATTTTTTGTAGTGATGGAGTCCTGTTATGTTGCTCAGGCTCATCTTGAATTCCTGGCCTCAAGCAATCCTCCCACCTTGGCCTCCCAACGTGCTGCAATTATAGGCGTGAGCCACCGCGTCCGGTTTCATCAAACAGTTTTGGAGAAACAGCATATACGTTTCTATTTTATTGTTAATTCTTTTTTCCGTTCTCATCTCAGTGCATTCCAAATTAGAGAAGGACATCCTTCTTGTCTCACACATTAAAAAATAGAAGTTTTCACGGGAAGCCAACATTTTAACATCTTTTCTACGGCCAGCAACAATGACAGTCATCTTGTCGACACGTTCATTTCTACAGTCAAAAATCTCATTAAGTGCTTCTATGTGTTTTGAGGAAAGCAAAGTGACCCAAACCATCATCATGAAAGCTGATCATCACAGGTGGGCAAGCCACACTCCCTTCTGGCAGCATCGGGTACAAGGTATAGGCATTTAGCAGGTAAGCTACTTTCACTTTCATTGGTAAGAAGCTCATAGAGTAAACGAAATTTGCCAAAATTAGCTGTGTATTGTCTGCCAAATATGCAGATAAATGAGCAAAGTCTAGTTTGTATTTGGACGAGAGAACAACAATCTTTTATGTTTTCGGCAGCTTCACTGACATCTTTGTGGAAATCAAGACGACGGTTTGAAACTCCAGCTTTTGAGTCAATACACCTAAGAGCTGGCAGAAGCTTGCTGCCAGGACTCGGGGCATCACCCGATGCACTGCAGAGAGGCAACTGTGAGGGAGATCAGACACCACCGGCTCTGGTGTAAGGGCCGAGCGCGTCTGTGAGTAAGAGTCTTCTCCCTTTTGCTCACACCCAGGACTTTTAGCTGCAGCCTCTGAATCAGGAAACGTGACCTTCCTGGGTCCTGGTGGCATCAAGGGAACGAGATGACAGTGGTGTCCATTCAGGAGGAGTGCCCTAGTGAATTCAGCAACCACGATTTTCAACCGGGTGCTGCTGTCTCGCGGGAGTCAGAAAAGCCTCGATTTAGAAGGGTGTGCCTGTGACATCCCACACTTGGGAGACCCTGGCTCCAACGTGCCTCCACATCCCCTTCTCTGCCACACCCAACCCCAAGTTCCTTCCTGCATGCTGTGTGGGTTTTGGTTCTTTGCCTCTACTCCAGTTGTGTGTGGCCTTCCATCTGTTATTAACAATGGTCGCTCAGCCTTCTTTTCTGATGACGCCTGGGTCACGCTGGTGCTGGCCTTGTCATTGTGCTGCCTTTTGTCATCTGAACTCGCAATAATCACAACGTTAAAAGGGAAGCCTCAACGCAAAGTCCAGTGAGGGGTCTGCAGTCGTGCTACAGGGCGTGACTGCAACACATGGGAGTTGTGGTCCTCAGAGTGACAAGACTCCTCGATCCCTCCTGAACCATGGTCACAACTGCCAGATTCATGTCAGGAAACATGGCGATGGGGCCATCGGAGGCAGGTGACCTATGCTGTTTTCACCTGACACTACAATCAGTGCTGCCAATTCCTTCCTATCTTGGGGCCTCTCCATGGGGTTTATAGCTCCTCAACCCAACCTTCAGCAGCCACTGCCAAAAACTCAAACTTTTTGTGTCCTGAGATTTCTTTTTGAGTTGGAGTCTCACTCTACTGCCTGGGCTGGGGTGTAGTGACACACTCACGGCCACCCCAGCCTCGACCTGCTGGGCTCCGGTGATCCTTCTGCCTCAGTCTTCCAAGTAGCCAGAACTATAGGCATGCACTACCAAGCCAGGCTAGTTTTTAAATTTTTCACTGTAGAGATGAGGTCTCGTCAAGTTGCCCAGGCTGTTCTCAACTCGTGGGATCAGGCAATCCCCTCACCTTGGCCTCCCAAAGTGCTGGGATGACAGGCTTGAGACACCGCACCGGGCCTATCCTGAGATTTCTAGGCTTTTGGTGCAAAACCCTGAATAGTTGGTTACCTTGGTAAGGACGTGGCATGAGGCTGGGGGGATAGGAATGCTGGTTGGGAGGTGGTGGTGGCACACCTTCCCATACTTCCTAGTCATGTGACCCTGGTGAAGGAGGCGAGCCAAAGACCCTCACCTCAGAGGGCCGTGCGGGGGTTACACGTACGCGATATTCAGCACGGGGCAGCCCACACTTGGGGTTTAACATGGGTGTGCGTGGAGTGTCACCTCAGGAACTGAGCTGGCAAAACCCAACTGAAACCCAACGGAATGCCTCAAGAAGCCCATCCCAAGCCAGGCCAAAGACAACTCTGGGGCCCAAGCCCACCCTCTGACTCTGCAGTCTGTAGACCTTTCCAGAACCCAAGCCCTGCAGGAACGAGACTGTGGAGCAATGAATTGGAATGGAATGGTTGCCTACAGAGGTGAATCAGACCAGGACAGACCAGGCCCTGCCTCCAGGAAACCCCCCGATGGGGGAGAGAGCCAGGCCATAGCTGCATGACCAAGTCCATCCAGTGGACTCGAGGGACAACGGGAGGGAGTAGGGACAAGCAGGAATCCGAAAGGGGTAATGTGAGCTGCAAACTGGCTCAGGATTGGAGTGCTGAAAGACTAAGACACTGCCAGTTACCGGAGTCATTGAGCTCATGCAGCAGCCCGAGGCAGACAGGCCCCTACGGGAGCCACGTGCTCCTGCCACGCAGGGGCTCCAGCCTCAGCCCCACACCATGGATACAGGCCCAAGAGGGCGTGAGATGGCCCTGGTGGCCCAGCCAGTCACTGAGCGGGGACCAGGCCAGGCCCCACCTGCTGCCCCGTGCTTCCCCTGCCAAGGCCCCGCAGGCAGCAGGTCCCCAATGCAGGCCTGGTGCCCTTGCCCTGACCGGAGGGGTGGGAATCGCCCCACCCCCTTCTTTTCCACCCCTGCCAGCTATGAAATGGGAAGGGGGCTGTCCAAGAGTTAATCACTTTTCTGATGGTTTATTTTATTCATCTTTGGTAACAAATGGCTGAAATCAATTAAACTTGCTTTCCCCTCAGCTGATGAAGTTAATTATGATTTGTTATGGTGTCTGATACGTAAAAATTATTAGAAAGCACACTTACGTTGGACCGGCTGCCTCCAGGCGGCACCGGATTAATCATTGTGTAGATGTTGTCACTGGAATTTGTTGAATCTGTAGAACAGTGGAAACCCGCAAGTCGAGGTGATTAATTCATTTCTTAATTAAAACAAACTCGTGGCACTTGAACTCATTCTTTTGTATTTGATCACCTAAAATTTCCTCTAAGTACCACCATTTTCTGGCTAATTTGTATTTAATGAAGATTCACAAAGTTTTTAATCACAGAAAATTCAACTGTGAAACCCACTCCACCCCGGCAGTGTGGACACGGCACGGGGGGATTACAGGCTCAAATTCTTGTCTCCCTACCCCAAACCAGATCTGGTCCCCAGATACTGCCTGGGACGACGTGGGGATGGCGAGGCCACCACCTGGGCGCTGCCCCGCCACCCCGCCGAGCGGTTTTAATCAAATCGAGAAAAGGGACACGCTGCACACCACCAGGGGCCGTGGTATTGGGCCGGCGGGGCAGGAGGGAGGGGTATTAACATATGGAGTGGGTTCACGAGGCCCCGCCGGAATGTAGGTCAGCAGCTCATCAAAATGCAGCAGCAGAAGAGGAGCTGGCGCGGGAGTATCCCGGCCGCCAGCTCCACCCCTGCAGCTGAGCAGCTTCCCCAGTATGGGGAGCTGAGGAGGGGGTGGGGGAAGGTCCCCTCCATCTCCCCAATTAGCCAGAAAAGTCTCCTTAGGAAATCAGCTAGAACGTTTATATCAGGAGCAGGCACCGTAATTCTCGGGCAGAATGCCAACTACCTCTCACTTTTTATTTTTGGGGTGGGTACGGATCGTATGTTGAATTCCTTCTAGCTGGCTGGCGTGCTATTCTTAGCTGGGAAAGAAACATCATTGTGATGCTGTGTGTGTGTGCACATACCCACGTGTGTGTGCACATGCCCTCTTTTGATTAGCGAGAAGGGATCTCCTGTGTGGAGGACCAGGAGCCCAGAGCTATGGAAACAAGTCGTATCATGCCTTAGACCCAGAGGGTCCCAGGGTGCCAGAAACCAAAGTCCCTTTCTGAGCCACCTGGAGACATGCCACCCAGGACAGGGCTCTCCCTAACATGAAGGAGACCCCTTGCTCCCAGGCCACCCTGCTCAGCACTGTCCTTACGAAACAGCAGCAGAGAACCAGAGGAGGGGAGGGACGAACCTGTCTGAGGCCACTCAGCGGGTTAGTGGCACCAGGGGTCCCGATCTCCTAAGTCCCTGAATGCCAACGTGTCCGGAAGAGGATGTGCCGCTTGGGAAGGAGGGGCTGGGAAGCCTTGGCTCAGCACCTGGGCCCTCCAGGATTCTCTGGCAGCCCCCCGTGGGGTCCCCCTTTCCCCTCAAGCGCTCTTACCTGCGGGACTGGGCATGATGGGTGTTCCTGGGGGGCCGCCACCACCAGGGGGTCCCTGGAGATGAGATAATAACTGACATCAGATTCCCACAGTGAGTGCACACGTCGGGAAGGGCCAGCACGCCTCCTCCCTCACCAGCCTGGCATCCATCTCTAAACCTCCAGTGCTCATTCACAGCCAAAGTGTTTAAGCTGGAGGGTCACTGGACTTAGATTTTCCTCCCTCCTCTTCAAACCAAGCCCCCCCCCGCCACGGGTGTGCGTGTGTGCACGTGTGTCAGGTGCGCACACTCATGCCCACTGGAGAAAACCAGAGGCCTACGGTGGAAGCCCACCAGCCCGCTGGTCAGCTGTCCTAAAGGAAATCCCACTCTCAGCCCTCGCTTGGGGATTTCTGGGCCACCTCAGGCCTGTACAGGAAGTCCTCGAATATTGACAGGAAGCTCCAGCAGTTTGGAACCTCTGCTCAAGAATATGTTCTGGAAGGGGAGGAGGCAGGGACCCCTGAGAACTGCACACCCAGTCACACGTGGCTAGACACGCAACGCCCCAAACCCACACACTCACCACATAGGTACCGGGTGACGAGGAGGAGTATGGAATCTAGAAACAAGATATGGGGGAGCCACGTGTCAGAGTCACGTCCTCCAACAGGCACTGCCTCAGCTTCCAACCCACTTGGGGACACAACCACACTCCTTCACGGGAAGGGCTTCGGGACCCAGTGAGTGGGTTGCCTGAGGGGGTCCCTTGGGAGGGCCGGGACATGATCGAAGTCCAGTTCTCTCCGCTCCACCGAATGGATCCCAGGAGCCTCGTCCCTTATTCCCCCGTCTTGGGAAACAGCCACTGGGGCATGGGGCCACAGGAGGCCCTCCAGTGCGTGAGAGCAGGAAAGAGGAAGCTTCAATCCATCCTTCCGGCTTTCTCTCTGGACTGTCTGTGCCAAGCCCCTGACCCAGTCTTTCCCCCGAATGCTGGAAGCTAGCCCTGGCTGGGAGGAGGCTCCCCTCTGAACAGTGCTTTCAAGGCCCAGGTTCTCAGCTCAAACCTTAGAGTTTCTGCAGAGGAGTGGGCTGGGCTGGGCAAGGGTCAAAACCTTGATGACCAAGCACGTGACTACCAGACCTCCAGGTATACAGGGTCTTCTCCTTGCAGGCCTCAGGGAGTGCTGCCACAACACTCCCTCCCAGCGATACCTCTGCTGGGGGAAAGGTGTCCCCTAAAACCACCTTGCCCGAACTGGGTACTCACTGAGTTAGCACTGTTAGGATTGGGCCAGGGTCTGCCAGCTCCCGGGCCCCTGAGAAAGGGAGAGAAAGATGGAAATAATGAAGAAGGTGCCGCAAACCACCAGTGGAGGCAGCAGGGGCTGAGTGAGAGGGCTGAAATCAGTAGTAGGAAGCCCTCCACCCAGCTCTGGGGTCTCAGAGGCCCCTGGCTCGGGGTAGTAACAGGCAGCTCCAAGGGTGGACATCATGAACTCCTTTAAATTGTAGGTAAAGGCTGGGCTGGTGACTCAGCCTGCAATCCCAGCACTTTGGGAGGCCGAGGCGAGTGGACTGCCTGAGACCGTGGGTTGAGACCAGGCTGGGCAACTTCGTGAGACCTCGTCTCTACGACAAATCAAAAAAATTAGCCAGGCGTGGTAGCGTATGCCTGCAGTTACTTCCGGCTACTTGGAAGGCTGAGACAGAAGGATTGCCGGAGCCCAGCCGGTTGACGCTGGGGTGGCTGTGAGCATGCGTTCCAGCCTGGGTGACAGAGTGAGACACCAACTCAAAAGAAAAAAATGATAGGTAGAATTTGTGCAATATATAGAATAATATATAACATTTCCTCTGCACGTGCATTTTATATATAGAATAATATATAACATTTCCTCTGCACGTGCATTTTCCTAGGAAGGGAGTACACAATCTCACAAAGACATCAGAACATACTAAAGCACTAGAGAACAGTGGTTCATGTGCAAGGGTTAAAAACTTGACTCTGCCGCCGAAAGCTGCGTGAGCCTGGGCTAATCACTTCACCTTTCTGTGCCTCAGTGACCTCATCTGTCAACGGGGGATAATAATCACTGATTCCTCGCGTTGTCATGAAGATGAGGTGAGCTAATGTACGTGAGCATGCCCAGAACCGTGCCCGGCACACGTAAGCACTGAGCAAGGCTCAGCTCTCATCACCAGGGCCCTCAACACCCTCATCCCACCGATGAGGAGACTGAGGTCCAGAGAGGCACCACAAGGGCTCCTATCGTGAGTCTTCCGGGGAGCCGGCAGAGGGTGGGGAAAGCCACAACTCTGAGCCCCTGGCCGGGTTGTGTTCGCCTTACATGTTAATCCCGGGCATGGCGGGGCCGAGGGAGTTGGGTGGTGGTCTCATGCCGCTGCCGTAATTCTGCAACGATAACCAAGGGTCAGTCTATGAGAAGGAGAAAGGAACCAGAGGGAGGAGGGAGGAGAAACAGACAGACAGAATATAAGTGAGAGGGTTAGTCTGTGAGAAGGAGCCGATGAGAAAAAATAACACATTCTTTCAAAAAAGCAGGGGGGGGGGTGGGAACCAAGTGGCAGGGACCACAATGACAAGCCAGCACAGAGGGACAGTCACAACGTTCAATGCATTCTGAGGGGCTTAGAGATGACATTCTCCAGAGCAGGTGGGTGTCAGGCACGCCAGTCCCTGGGCTCCCATGACACTAGTATGCACCTCCCCCACGTCTCGGGCAGGTAAGGGGTGTGGGCTCAGTCCCTGAAGCCACTGACTTGGGAAAGAATCTACTGCTAGAGGCCGGGAGGCGAGGGGCAGCTCTGAGTGTGGAGGGCAGCGGGCACCGCTGAGAAGTGTGGCCCCAGGCTGGCCCGGGCCCGGCCTGCCCAGCAGAGACAACCCACTCTGCCCTAGGTCTGGGCTTCCCCTCACCCCACCCATGCGTGGGCGGCCCTTGCAGGCACGGGACTGGGGAACAGAAAGAAACTTCACTTCTCTGCTCAGGGGGATCACTGCTCTAAGAAGAGTCGCCACAGAACCCAGAAACTTCTGGGAATTCAGATTCAGCTCAGTGTAACCTTAGTGAGGCAGAGAAGGGCAGGTCCCAGGCACCCAGGCCTCTTTCCCTCTCACCTCCTGATGCTTTGCCCCTCTGCTCCCCAGGGCGGGCTCCTACTAGTCCCCTAACACCCAGCACAAACGGGGGCTCCTCTGTGAAGCCCTCCCTGCCCCATGCCAGGGGCTAACTACTCCATCTCAGTTACTCCTGTGATGCCTTCTAGCTCCCTTGCCCCACGGCCAGCACCACGCTGGGTGATACTCATGGCCACGTGTCCATCTCCTGCCTCCCCCACTGGGCTCTGAGTGCCGTCTGCAGGTGGGGCCTGTGTCTTCATGACCACATTCCCCCTATACTCCAGGCCCTGACTGGCACAGACTGGCACTCGCTCAGACGACACTGGGGCAGTCAGCGAAGGAGTGAGGAAGAGAGTGACGGACAGCACAGCAGGCCAGGCTGCAGCTCACGCTCTGCCCTTGTGGGAAAATCTGGAGAGGTTGTTGCTGGAGTTCTGACCAGAGGAACAGTCAGCACTGCCTGTCCCTTCTACAGCACACCATGTCCTTCACATACATAACGATTCCATGAGGCTGGTATTGTTCCCACTTTACAGAAAGGAGGCCGACTGTCTGAGGGAGTTATAAGCCTGAAGTCACAGTCAGCAAGTAGCACTGCTGGGGCTTAGACCCGTTCTATGGGCCCCAGAGCCCACATTCTCAGCCACACAGTGGCGAAAGGCGGGTGGGAGGGGCTGCACAGGAGGGCTGAGAGCCAGAGCTGACACACAGAGCCCACAGAGGCTGATGGAGGGGTCTCCAGTCAGGGACGAACCGTCTCCCAAATCTTAGAAGAAGGCCCAGACAGTATGCAGACGGTGACAGGGCAATGCCTGGTTGGCTGGCAGAGAGAAGACTTGGAGTCAGAGAGGGCGGGCCCTTGGGTGGGCAGACCTACCTCACCCTGAGCCTGCTCAGGGTGGCTTCAGGCCGGCTGACGGTGGCGGTCTTGGGGCAAAGTGCTGGGGCCAGGCCTGCTTAACTGATGGGTGCCACGGGATGGGGTTTAGAGCCCGAGATCTGAGGGTAGAACACAGGTGGGCTGGCCTCAGCACAGCCACTTGCTGGTGACTTTGGGCAAATGACACAAATCGCGATAAAACCTAGTCCATGCCAGACTGTGCTATGTGTTCAATGTGCATCACCTTCACTTAATTGCTACGATGACCCCCTTCATCTCCCCATTTTAGAGATCAGAAAACTGAAGTGCAGAAGCAGAGTAGGGCCCCATGCACAAATATATGCGGCCGAGCTGGAACTGAAACCCTGCAGGCTCTGGCTTTAGGGCCACACCCCCGCTGCCGTGTTGCCTCATCTGTGAAATGGGGACAGAGAGCCCTCTGTGTTTCCAACCTTTTAGGGCCCCATGCGGATCAAGTGAAATGACGGTTCTGAAGTGCCTGTAAGCTCTAGGAGGTGTGTGCTGATCCGGAACGTCAGCAGCAGAACAAACTCCAAAGCTCTTAATGCTGCCTTGGCATCACAGAGCCTCAGGTCTCACAGGGCCCTTCTAATCCCACCTACAAATCTCGGCCTTGCGGCCCCGCCCCCAGCACAGGAAGCTTCCCAGCGCCTGCTCCCACCGCGTGTGCAGCCTGGCTGACTACAAAGGTCTTGCAGACAAACTGAGTTCTCTTCCAGGGACTGCAGCTGCCTCCCCCACATCTCGGAGAGACAGTGGGCGCCCAGGACGACTCAGCACACAGTGCGGGTGACAGGGAGGATAAGAGGCGCTCACTCCAGAAAGAAGCCCGGACATGCCGTGTGTGGTTCCGGGCCGGAGGGCTCCAGGTGTGTGATCCCGTCCTATCTAACCTCAAACAGCCAGCACGGCAGCTCCGCCAGACCCCCTGGATCCCCACAACTACAGAAGCACAGATGCACCTCATCGGTTCACAGATAACAGCTTGGAAGCTCAGAGAGCCAGAGACTTGTCCAAGGCCACAGGGTGAGTCAGGAGTGAGGTCCAGGCTGAGATCAAGTGTGCAGTGGAAGCGTTCAAATCAGAAACACCAGCCTTTTTGCACAGGGCTGGAAGACTCTGGCATTCAGGCTTGGGAGAAATGGGTTCTCTCTTCTGCCAGCCCTGCCTGTCCAAAGCACCGGGTTGCTGGAAGGATGACGGTGAGGCTGTGTAACACCTGGTCACTAACCAGATGCTCCCCCCTTCATCTGCCATCAGCTCTGCAGGGATGGGGTGGCTGGACCGTGGGGCCAGCCACATCCACAGGGGCCGATCTTTCCCCACCCTTACTTGAGTACCCACCCTTGCTGCTCACGCCCTGGGCAGAGGGGTGCGATCCATAGTCAGGAACAAGGCAGGCCCCACTCTCGGGCCCATGGTGGCATGGGAAGGCAGGGGCTGGGGGCTGTTCCTTCCTGCCACCTCCTCAGAGGGGCTCCTTCTCCAGCTGCCTGTGGAGAAAGGACCCCTCTTTACCTTAAAAGAGGGGGGGAGTTGCCAATCCTCAGAACTCACCTGCAAGGGTGGACGTGAGGTGGCCCAGACAGCACTCCAGGCAGCAGGGCCTGGGCTCCCCTCCTCCCTCGAGTCATGTGGGGGCCTGGCCATCCCAGGCTGGGAGGCCTCCAACGGGCCACCAGGGGAAGTCCCTCAAGGGGCCAGGGCTAATGACCCTCACATCTCTTTTCAGAGCCCCTCTTTCTGAGGCACTGGGCTGCCACTGGCACCAGCTCAACAGTTTCTTCGGGGTGGCCCAGGATTGTCCTTGGGGATCATGAATTTGCCTTCCTCTGAGCTTTATCAAATGCAGACAAATCAAGATGGTGGTCTGATTCTAGGCTATGCTGACTCCAGCCCCACCTGAATACCAGAAGCACCGAGAGGTGGGTGGCCCTGGGTATCAGCCCCCACGGGCTGATACTTCTAATGGGATTCAGCATTCTGTTCACCCGAATCTGACCACGAGTCCCTGCAGCTCAGCCTCATTCTCACAGAATTCACTTAGAAAAAGCTTGGATAAGAGGTTGTTCCTGACACTGACATGCATGCGGTTGTTCGAGGAGGACTAGGTGGAAGCAGTGCCTCCTTTGTGGCACTGGGACCTCATAAAACCAGAGTACAACCTATCTGAGACATTGAGGGCAAAGGATAGGGTAAAGCCTGGGCTGATGGTTTCTTAGGGACGTTTAGGCCGGCGTATGACACTGGCTCAAAAAAGGCAAAGTCACTCCATTCATGTGAAGTCTACAAAGTAGCCCCAAGACCACACTGTACCTACTCTTTGTCCAGAATGTTCTGGAGCGTTCACTGGCTAAAAGCCACCTAATTTCCCACTGGGACTCACACACCCATGGTTTCCCCCTTTGTGCCTGGTCTCAGCACGGCACTGTGTATGCAGTGGTGCCTACTCTAGGCTAATGGGCTGGTCGCCCTTCCTGACAGCCCAGGCTGTGGCAGTAAGTGGGACTCTCGCTCCCAACTCAAGCCCTGTGGGAAGGGCCCGCAGGACACCGTGTGGTGACTGCACATAGAAGGCTACGTTTCACAGCTGTTGTTTCACACACACACCCTCCACATCCAGTGAGCCCAATGAGGTCACTGTCTGGCACCCACTTTGCAGATGAGGGACTAAAGACCCAACCTGGCAGAGCTGTGGTCAGAACCATGCTTTCCAGCATTAAGTTCTGAGCCCGTACCTCTCCTGCCTACTAGGAGTTACCACGGCAGCCCTCTCAGGGGAAAGAGAGCAAGGGCCTCGGCCCTCTTCCCCCCACCAGCCTCGTAGTTTCCCACCTGCCCTGATGCCCATTCCCTGGCTTAGCCCACACCTGCAGTCCATCCCACACACCAGCCTTGCCCGGTCCAGAGCTATAGCAATGCCAGGCCTTCCTGTGTCCCACTGGTGCAGACACTCTGGGTTGCTCCGATTGAGGTCTGGCTCTGGGATTTAAAACTGGACCCTACCCAGAGGGGTACAAGAGACCCCAGCAAAGCACTTCAGGGATTCAATGTTGATAAAGTAAAGAGCAGGAGAGATGTTTTCAGAGCCCCTGAGGGTGGCAAGGGAGGTCAGCCCTGACCCCTGGGCTGGCATCTCCTTACCCTTCTGGGGACACTCCTAGGGGTCTAAGGGGCACTCCATCCCTCGTCCGTGCTCAGGAGACCTCACTGATCCCAGAAGACCCTTTCCAGCAAGACCTCCGCCTCCAGGACCCTCACGCCTCTTAGTATGCTGAGGTGTGTTCTGGACTGCACCTCAGGAAACCATGCTGAGACACCCACCAAGCCAGGAGGGGGTTCTCACCTGCAAGCACGCGCTGCCCCCTGACAGTCTAATACCAACCACGCCCAGCTTTTGGAACTTCAAGATTACTATAGGCTTCACACACTGGGAATGACTTTGCCGGAAAAAAAGAGAAGAAACTAAAAGCAATCATCAAACCCAAGCAACCAGAGAACTGAACATGAGTTTACGGCCCCAAAATTGGGAAACATAAATTGCTTACCAAGGGGAGCTACCCTGTGCCCACCACCGCGCCAAGGACTTGATCCTGCTCCTTCCAGCAGCCCTCCAAGGCAGACACTGTTCTCATTCCCATTTTACAGATGCAGCTGTTGGGCCTCTGAGAATCCATGGGGTGGGCGGTGGGATTAAATTCTTCCTGCTCAGATTCCATCCTCCTGAACCACCCAGCTCCCCCAGAGCATTCTGAAAATCCAAGGCCACAGACGATTTCTGCACCAATGACACGTGACCGTCATGCGGCTCAGGCCAAGGGGAGCGAGAGCCATTTCTGACAAAGGAGAGAGGAAGCTCTCCTTTCAACCCTGCCCCCCGCCCCCTCCTCCAGGCAGGCAGCCCTGCAGAGGTCAGCTGGAGATGGCTGCCAGGCAGGAAGGGCCCACTTGGGCAGCTTAAAAGGAGCTGGTGAAAACAACTTTGGGAAATTCGAGGAAGGAAAAACCCCAGCATACAGTAGGTGCAACTGCTGCAGGCTTGCTTCCTTTTAGGATTATGGGGCCAGCGAAAGACAAGGACCTCCCTAAAATCTCTCAACACCACAGATGTTCCAACCACCACTGAGAGGAAAAGCAGTGAGTTGGGTTTGCTGTAAATACAATTCCGGGATGGAGCAGAGGATTGTGGGTCCGTGGGGGCAGGCACCTCTCCCTACAAAAGGGAGCATGTTGAGGGGACTGCCAGGGGGCACTACTCTATCCCCAGGGGAACCAGAAACTTGCAGAGGGGGCCCAGAGACTCCTGAACACCTACAAGGCAGGGAGGGTGAGACCAGCACTGCAGACTTCCAGGCAGGGCAGACAGAGACTCCAGCTATCACTAGTGAAAACCCTCTCCTCCATTAGATCCTAGCTGCTTTTAGATAGTCTGGGTCTAGCGATGTCCCAAGGAGAGTGGAGCACAGCAAGCTCCCTGCCACGACCGCCACAGGAAACAGCCAGGTCCAAGTACTTGGAGTGGCAAGAGCAGCAGTGAGAAGGTTCCAGAGCAGAACAGCCTGTCCCACTTTTGCCTGGGTGGCCCCTTGTAGGGTACGGAGCTGGGTCATGAAGGGCAACTACTGGCTGTAGCTGGAACGAGGTGTCTAAGGGCACCTGGAATGTTTTCTTCCAGAGGCTTCTGAACTGCCCTTTTGGGCAGAGAAGCCTCAGAAGGAATTCTAGGCAAGAGACTGGTCAAGGCTCTGGGTTGAAGCAGGTACTGGGGGTCTCGCAGCCTGGCTCTCCTCACCCCTGAGAACCATGGATACAGACGAGAGATGCCTCATTCCACAGGTGGGGAAACAGGCCTGCTGGGGCCCACAGAGGTCAAAGTGATTCATCCAAGGACAGACGTAGGGGGAGTCGTAGGCAGAGCTAGGAACGCCCCCGAGTCATGTCAAGTCTACCTTGGTGGGAGGCAGTTCTGGGATTCCTAGAACCCCACACGGCGCCCTCAGACTTCACACTAGGACACACCACCCTGGAAGAGTCTGCCAACTGGAAGGTTCCCCAGACGCCCCCCTTCCCCTGAAAGTCGGGTGTCCTCCACTCTGCCGAGAGGCTGCTTCTGATTGCGTGTGAAGCCAGCCAGCTGTGGGCGAAGACAGGAGCTGAGGGCCGGGACACACCCTACTTCTCACCCCTGGAACTGAGAGATGTAGGAGACTGACGGACCGTGGAAAGAGGAGAGAAAGCGGGTGCACACAGATGGCCGGGGAGGTGGGCAGACAGATAGGCGGTCAGTTACCTGGGGGCCAGGACCCATGGGCCCCATGCCTCGGGGAGGGTTCATTCTCTGCATCGATCCTCCCATGTTGGGGTGGCCTGCGTGACAGAGGCACCAGTCATGGGTGGGCAGGAGTGGAGGGAGGGGGAGCCCACCCAGGCCCCTCCCCGCCCTCTCTACCTTGTTGTCGTGTGGGATCCATGGAATTGGGCAGCAATGGCTGTGTCCCAGGAACTCCTCCTGGAGGCTGAAAGAGACGTGACACACAGGCTGAGCGGCTGCTCTGGGGCTGGTGGACAAGGGGGGAGGCATCTACCTGTCCACCTGGTTCCCGACCTGACCACTTGGGGCCACTCATGCTCTCCCGGAGATCACTCCTGCTGCCTGCTGGCTTGGAGCTAGTGTTATCTAAAGTTGTGGGGTGGGAGCTTTGTGTGAGAGGGAACCATTGCCCCGCCCTGCTATCTTGGGGTGGGGGTGCGGACTGTGTATCTATCAGAGCCCTGAAATGAGGCAGGAGCACGCTCTAGGTCCCACGCTGGGTGGACCACCTACCACATTCCCCTCAGAGGCCTCCCCATCTGCCCGAACCCCAGCAAGTGCAGCTTAAGCCAAAGCCCATCTTCCCTTTGCGTCTCAGAGATATAAAATCGTATCTCGACTTCCAAATTACAGGAGTCGAGAGACCCGCTAGCTAACAACCTATCGCCATGAAAAGCCCTTTTTAAAGGGGAGCAGGGCATGAGGAGGCCTTTACAATTAAGATGGAGAAACTGAGGTCCAGAGGCCCAAGGTCCTCAGCCACAAATTGGCAGAGTCAAGAGCGCCTAGATCACCTTCTAGCCCCAGAGCTGAAAAGGCCTCTGGGAGAGGAGTGGGGTCGGGGTTTGGGGGGGAGGAACCACTGGATGAGAACCCACTGGTGCCAGCAGCGGGTGCTAGTGCAGTTACTACTGAGAAGGTGAGGACAGGGTGCCACAGTTTCCTGGGCAAACACCTGGCACACCTGCTATGAAAACCTATTACAGGTAAATTACTGGGGACTGAAGTTTTCAGCTACAATTTGAAAAAAGAAAGTAGGGGCTGAGGAGGGGCTTGCTTCTAGGACCCTATCTCTGAGGACTAAACAAAGGCTCCTGCCTTCAAAAGGAAAAACCCATAGAGACAGCTCGTCTCCTTTCCTCATCTGCAGACACCAGTGCTTCTCAAAGGTTGAGCACCTGTGATGGGGGCCCCCAAGGGCCCCCAGCCTGGACTGTTCTGCTTGGGGGCAGCTGCGTGGAAAGCTCTTCTGCCTTGGGCCCAGCAGTGAACTCCAATGGGCTCTGGAAGGAGCGGCGGAAGGCGAAGAGACACATTGACACCCTTTGTCCTAGCTTCAGAATGGGACAGGGGTGTGGCGAGGGTGGGGAGGCTTGGGTGAGGGCCTGGAGAGTACCTGATGTTCACCAAGTGGCATCTGGCACCTGCTGCTTCCACCTGTCCGGGGGTGCTTAGAGTCTGCCTTTCAATCCCGGGGTTTAGTTGTTCCGGCCTGGCCTGCGTTCCCTAGCTCTGAATCACTCAGCTGCTGTGTGTCTGCTCACCAAGGGTCTGGGGTTTTTATAGTGTCCTAGTGACTCAGGAAGGCCTTGCTCTGTGGCAGCCTGGACCCAGATGGATGGATGGGGGAAGCGGATGCAGCTGCGGGGTGGGCAGCCTCTCTTTCTCTCCAGGCCACCACACGCGGACCAACAGTTCTTACAGAAAGCTCCTCCTTGGCTCTGCCCTGACCCTGCTGTGTGTCGGAACTGCAGGGGCCAAGTTGGGCTGTCCAGAAGCTCAGAGGGGCCTGAGAGTCGCTGCCCTCACCAAATTGACCCCGAGATAGGAACAGGACAGTCGGGGCCTCTTCCCTAATGGAAGGAAGGTGTGCAGTGATCAAGGAAAAGGGCCTCACACTTAGAAGGTCGAAGCCTCAAACATGGGGAAGGAAAACAACTCCTTGTATATGGGACTGTGAGTGCGTGCTGCACACACGCCCTCAGGGCCTGCAGGGGAGTGATGCTCCTGGGCTGTCACACGGGCCCCTGGACGCCAGCCAGGTCTTCTCCCACGACACTGTGGGGGCAGGGCACAGGAAGCATCTGTCCAGGAAATGGACAAATCCCCCACTACATCTGCACGTTTGCTCACCTGCCCACCGGCACAGTCAGTTGGACCAGGTGGGAGCCCGCTGCGATGTGTGGGAGGGCCCTCTGACAGCCCCGGGTCCCAGCTCCTCCTCTCCTATACCCAGCTGGACCTCCTGCCCATCGCCCACCCAATCACCCTCACTCGAAAAACATCAGCCCACCATGCGCAGCCTCCAGCCAGGGAGGCAGGCGGGAGGGCCGGCCTTGCGAGGCGTGAGGCCACGTCAGTGACCCTTAGCCTCTTGGTCCCTATGCACGCCTCCCATCTCCCTCACCCAGGAGGCACACTTGTCGCTGCGGTGAGCCCGAGGAAGGCCTCCTGTTTCTGCTCCCACATCTGACAGTGGTGCTAACTCAGATGGCTCAGGGCTTCTGCTAACTAGCAGCCCACGGGGGACACTCGCCGAGAAGCCCCTGGGGCAAAACCTGCAGAAGAGGCACATCCCTCTTTGCAGGACAAAAATTTCTTGTTCACAGGAAACCGGAAAATCAGATTTCTGATGGGGGGTGACAGGGAGGCAGAAAAGCAGGCTGGTAATGCAAGGGTGGACGATGGGTCTACTCCCCATTTGCTCGCCTGGGTGCCTGTTCATGCTTAATTGCCAAATGGAAACGCTCCCTCCCCATGTCCCTTCACTGCCAGAGGAAGGGCCGCAGTTATGATAAGGAAGCAGCTGCTCGCTCCTGGGCCGAGGCTAGTTTAGACCAAGGGGACGTCTGGGAAGGCAGGAGGCAAGGCTGCTGCTGGGGCCCAGGCGGCAAAGGAGGCCCAGGGGGGACGGGTTCAAACAGAGGCAGGGCAGCAATCTCACAACGGTGAACGCTGATGAGTGAGGCCCCAGGGGCATCGTCAGCACCAGGCAGGGAACCCAGATCGACTCCAGTCTGGCTCACTGTGTGACTCTGGGAAGTCACTTCTCCACTCTGACCTTCTGTTTCCTCATCTGTGATATATCCGAGGGTCCCTTCTTGCTCAAAAAGCTGAGTATCTAACTCCTCTTGTCCAAATTTGTCCCCTTCATGCCAGAGAAAATAGGAAACGAAGGATTGTTGGAGGAAAAAAAAAGATGGAAACCTGATAGGCAATTTAACATGAAAACTGGAGGCCCCTGGTTGTGAGCCTCTCTCTACATTCCCTGTACCAGCTCAAGAATGAAGAGTGGTTGGGCGCGGCGGTTCAAGTCTGTAACCCTAGCACTTTGAGAGACCGAGGCGAGAGGATTGCCTGAGCCCAGGGGTTTGAGACCAGCCTGGGCAACTTGGTGAGACCTCATCTCCACAATACATCAAAAAAGACTGGGTGCAGTGGCTCAAACCTATAATCCCAGCAATTTGGGAGGCCGAGGCGAGAGAATGGCCTGAGCCCAGGGGTTCAAAAGCAGCCCGGGCCACTTGGTGAGACCTCGTCTCTACAATGTATCAAAAAACTAGCTGGGTGTGGTAGCGCCCGCCTGTAGTTCTGGCTACTTGGAGGGCTGAGGCGGAAGGATCACTGGAGCCCAGGGCGCCACTGCACTCCAGCCTGAGCGACAAAGTGAGACTCTGACTCAAACAAAACAAAACAAAAGAATGAAGAGTATCACCCTCAGATAACTCCAATCTGGCAGGTGACTATATTCCCAGCTCTGAAGGCAACAAGGGCTGGATGTGCTGGTTGCTGCTGTCAGATTTTTTGAAAGGCTTTTGCAAAATCACTTAAAGAATTCTGTTAAAAAAGAAATTTCCCTGATGTTTCTGTAGAGTTTAAGTCTGTCTACACTCAAAAGAGGCATCTATTTGTCTTCACCTCTCTGACGCTCCTTCCACCCTGGACAGTCTAAACCAGGGAGGGCGACATAGGAGCCGATTCTAGACCACCTAGAATTGTCAACCCCAACAGGCCAGCATAAGGTGTCTGACCCCACGCTGGAAAGCCCGCCCGTAAGCAGACCACTTTTCTAATTACACGAACAAATCCTCTCTTGTTTTGAGTTGGGTCTGGGAAGCAGGCAGACATTGCTGAAAAACTCACAAATGTCTTGCTCCGCTGAGCTCAGGCTCCTGATCTAAGCATTCCTACGGGCCATTTCTCCCCCTAATAGCAGGATTATATTTACCAGCCTTGGCAATTCTCAAAAGCTTCCAGGAAAAAATGCACATTGTCAATTAACTTCATTAAGGAAGAAGACCCTCTTCCAAGAAGGGGCTGGAAGGGGGGGCAGGGCATTACCTTTTCTAGAATAGCCGAAACCCAGTAATCCCGCCCTGGCCGAGTCTGCCGCCACCTTCCGAACTCCAGAACAGGCTGCCCAGAGCCCATCCGGAGAGCGGGTGAGGCAGGTGAAGTGCTGCACCCTGGGCACAAAGGGGACACACGACCCTCTCTGGGGAATAGCTAGGAAGCTACCCTCCCCTCCCCATTAAAACCTGCCCCTCCACCCACCAATCTTTTCCCGAAACTTTGAGTCAAAGTTCACGTGGGGCCAAGGTGGTTGGGAGGGGAGAGAAAACATGGAAAAGGTACAGTACCTGGTTTCCCATTCTGATCGGGGGCCTGGGGCCGCCTGCGTATCGCGGTGACATAAAAGGCTGCAATTACAGGGAATTAGTTCAATGACAGCCTGCTCTATTGCACAGTGACAAACGCAAACGCTCTCCACTCCACAGAGTCCAGTTTTGTTACAACTAGTGATCTCTTAAGCTCTCTCTCTCTCTCTCTCCCCCCCTGGTAGCCTCTCCCCTCCGGGCAAAACTTCCTTTGGGCTGGGGGAACAATAGATCCACACAACAAATGTGTCTCCCGACCCCACATTTGTTCATGGAGATCTATTCTAGGGTGGAAGGGCAGCGGCTGGGACTTTGGACAAGATGCGGAAAAACAGTCGAATCAACGCAGGGCAAAGGAAGAAACCTCTGCTCTCAGGGCAAATAAAAGAAAAAAGGACGTCTACATAACACTTCTGGGTCTGCAGACAAAGCTGGACACGCGAGCACACACGTGCGTGCACACACACACACACAGAAACCACTGACAGAAGGGAGGGGGAGCGGGGACTGGAGGGGACACAATGGAACGGGTGAGGAGGCAGCGGGCGCCCTAGCTCGATGCGTGGGAATGGGCAGGAAAGCTTTCTCAGCAGCGAGAGTGCACAAAGAAAAGGCTAGGGGTGCAGCTTCGGGGACAAACAAATGGAGAACCAAACTCAAAAACCAAACCAAAAGTGAGAGAGGAAAAAACAAAAACGCAAAGGCCGCTGACAAGGTCACAGAAATATCTATTTTTTCCCCCCTTTTGGTTTCATATCCAAGCTGGGTGTGATGTCCAAGGAAGGCAGACTCTCTTTAGGAAAAGATATATATTTATTTTTTTAAAGAATTCAATTTGTCAATAAAGACTCGAAGGCGGTGGCTAGAGCACGTTCTGATTTTTGTTTTTCCTCTGCTGGCTCTCTGCTTCCTCCGGGCCCCGCGCCCCCCGGCGGGCGGGCGAGCCACGGTGCGTTTACCTGACTGTGGGGTCCCATCATGCTGCTAGGATTGTGAGGTGGAGGCTGTGCGTGCGGCGAGGGCTGTGACCCCGGAGGACCCTGTGAGGCCAGACAGTAGAGGCAGGTTACAGATCGCAGCACATGGAGAAGCGCAGGAGAAGCTTAAAAGAACAAAAATTAAACCAAAACGAAGGGTGGGCGGCGGCGTGCGGGGGGGGCGGGCTCTGGTTGGCAGGAGGTGGTGGCACTGCTGCTGAGGCCGCCGGCTCAATGGTGGCACACGGCGAGCGGGAGCAAGAAGCTGATCGGTACATTCACGAGGTGGGTGGGGTTGGGAGTCCAGGGAACAAAAAATACAATGAAGCACCTTTGTCAAAGCACACGGGAGTGTGGTCCTGGACACAGTCTACCGTTTGAGCAGAGTTTGCCATGTCAAATACGTTGATTGAGAGGGCTCAGAGAGTACAGTGACACACAGACACAGGGCGCCCGGATGCCCCAGGGGCAAAGCGTGAGGCTTGCAGGGGACAAGGGGAAGAATCCAGTAAAGACCCTGCCCTCGAGGAGCGTACAGTCTGGGGGGGGCAGCAATGGGTGACTCGAGGCAGGATTCATCAAGGCCCAGGTGACAAGTCTACGGGAGCAGGAGGGCCAGGGGTGCTGACGGATAAATAAGAGGCAGGAGGAGCGAGGGGGTGCCACAGACAGAACACACGGGGGAAGGGAGGGACAGACAGTCACCGAGAGCCACAGGGTGCAGGCGACGACATGCCGAGGCTGGGCGGGTCCTGAATTCACCTATACTTCAAAAAAGTCCCATGAGGTGGGGCTTCTCATTCTGATCTTTACCGATGAGGAAACCAAGTCTCAAGGGACGGAGCGACCTGGCCATGGCCACACAAGTGGTCAGTGGCAGAGCCGGGACGAGAAGACTGATGGGCTGCGGCCACCCCCATCCCTACAGCCCAGAGTTCAAGCAGAGGCCGGCATGCAGAGGCTTGGGGGTAGTGAGCCACCCTCAGATCCAGGCTGACGCCTGAGCCCTGGGCTATGCTGAGCTCAACTCCCCCCAGAGGAGACGGGCGGATGAATTCATGTAAACATCAGGGTTGCAAACTATGGGTTGCAACTCATTCGCGGGTGGTGAAATCAATTTAGTAAGCTGCAACTGTTATTTTTTAAAAACCTGAAATGACCAAAAAAAAAAAAAAAAAGGAAAAGAAAGAAAGAAACTACCAGGGACCTTTGTGTGTTTTAAGGCAGTTATCTTTCACGAATCTCTATTTCATGTGTAAATAAATACACATGTGTGTGTAGAGACCAGGTCGCCATGCCGAAGGAACTTCCTACTGTGGGTCACCGTCGAAAAGAGGGAAGAGTCTGCCCTGGAAGTGTGCTCCACCCACCCAGACCAATTTGGAGCCGGACACTGGTGTGAGGGACAAGGAGACAGGTCCCCATTCATGCTGCTCCACTCATGACGGTGCTGTCCCCCTCAGAAGCTGTTTTTGGTTAAGTTAAAACGAGAGAGGAAGACCACGAGGTAGGGCTCTCCTCCTCGGTCTTGCCCACAGAGCCGGCTGCCTGCTGGCCTGGGAGGCACAGCCCAGGACCGGGGAGGGGACGGAGGGGTGGGCAGAGCTGGCGGGCGCGGACACACAGAGAAGAGGTGTGCAGACAACATCGCGGGAACCTGAGGGCGCTGCTGATGGCAGGCCTGGGAGTTTCTTGGCCAAGCGAGGGGCTGCTCACTTCCGGAAAGCTCCGAGGAGCAGATGTTCCCCTACCTGCCACGCTACTAATTTCAACAAGTGTGTGTCTTTCTAGCGGCTGCCAGCAACGGCATGGTTTGTTACCATGAGCAATTTTCTTAATTAACAGACATTAATTAGCCATTTAGCAATTTTGCAAGCATTTGTTTAGCGGCTTTCCTAAACATGAATACCACTGTGATAATGGCACTGATTAGAGGGTCCCCTAATTAACAGTACAGGGAAGGAAAATTGAAATCACATAAATTAAAAAGGGAGGGGAAGTTAATGAAGGCGGGACATCTTTGCACCTGCAAGTCTTTTGTATCACGAAACTTGGGTGTAATGTAAACAAAACAAGATAATTCGAAGCCAACCCCAAAAAAGAGAAATCTGAAAAGAACGGAGGAGGAGGGTTCGAGGGTGAGGTCCAGTTGCCAAGAGGGGGCAAAAGGCCTTCTGTCGGTTCTTCAGCTCTTGGCAAGAAGGGAGAGCCCCCTCCCTCACCAGCCTTCCCTTCCTGGTAACCGAGGCCTTCCTCAGGGCGAGCCGCCTGGCTCTGGGCAAGCCCCTCACACCTGTGTGCCCAATGGTCAGGGCAGATTAGGGCCCTGACTCACTGACTGATTCGAGAAAACATTAGCAAAGCACCCGAGCGAGTCTGGCAGCTCCATGGACGGCAGTCTTTACAAAGGGCCAGTACTCAGACCTGAGGTTCACGACTCCTCCCGAGAGGCCCCCCAAGGCTCGGAGGGTAGCGCTGCGTGTGTACCGCTCCCTGCGCCTCCCTCAGAAGCTGGGCTCTGGTGCCTGGTCCCTGGAATAGTGGAGGTGGCACCAGCTTGCTCTCAACACAGCTGCCTCAAGACAAACGATGACAAGCAGAAAGGAGGCTGGTCAGGGAGCCCCCCCACCGCCCAGCCCCAACAACTTCTCTGGCTCCAGGGAACATCCTGTTAAATCTGGGGAGGAAGCCGGGCTCGGTGGCTCAGCCTGTAATCCCAGCGCTTTGGGAGGCTGAGGTGAGTGAATTGCCTGAGCCCGTGGGTTCGAGACCCGCCTGGGCAACTTGGCGAGACTCATCTCTACATAA